CATCTAGTCTCCAGGACGGTGGGGGCTGAGGTTTGAATGGTCCACTAGTTGTTTACATGCATCTTTGATGGTCTTCACTTGACTTCGCTTTGGATGGGGATGTGGACAGACTCATACTTGCACATCAGATGGCTGCTAGCAAATTTTTAAGATCTCAGTCGCTACTCAAAGTAGGGTGTAGACATTGTCTTTGTGGACTCATTATGCCTTTTGACCTTGGCGTCTCCTAAGTCCATGGTCCTGAGCCCTCAGGCCCCAAGATTCATTCCCATAAAGTATATGGTTATGGCTAATACTTTTTCATGACTTTGCCCTCTACCATATCCATAGCTATATCTGCAGCACGTATAAATACATATATACAAATATCCTCGGCCAATCCTATATATATTTACACATTTAAAAAATGTTAATTCTTACAAAATGAATACCATTATCACCATGTTCTTCATATGTTACAAATGGAGAGAAAGCCAGAGATATTTAGTAATGTGCCCAAGGTTCACAGCCGGTGTGTGGTAGACAAAGGTCAAGGTTTGGATGAAGGGCTTCTTGATACTTAGGTGATTATACTGAACCCTTGCCCCCATGACCTGAAGTCTTGCTTCCTGGAGACAGCTTCCAATTGCTGCATATGCTTCTGTCCCCTGCTAACCTGGCACTCACCTCAGCACACAGATGACCAGAGTTGGGCCTGCCAGAGCTTGTTCAGGTTTTGTCCTGTGACATATTTGCAGGTGGAGGACAGGGGAAGATCAGGGAACTTCCATGTATGCAAATGATGGACAGATAAGCTTGCCATTCTGGTTTGAGAACAGGCTTACATGGAATTGCAGCATCTTCCCGAGGATTACAGAAATAGTCTGCCAGATTGTTGGGCTGTGGGTGGCAAGTTGAACATTTTAAGCCAAATGCCAGAAAGTATACAAAAAAGGACCTATTTGTAATTGCACACATATATTGAATATGTAATTTTGAAACAAGGAAAACAACTAAATATGTGTACATATAAGTAAATATATATGTATGTATGTGGGTGTACATATATGTATCTGTGTGACACATATATTCACATACATAATAAAGCACATGGGAACACAGTTATGAATATTTCTTAGCTATAACCAAAGACCTCACAGAGTTGGTCAATTGTCATAATGGTTCATATTGTTATGTTCTGCACCCTAGTTTGGTGAAAAATGTCTGGGGTCTTAAAGGCCGGAAAACAGACACCTAAGAAATGGGTACTGATTCCTGTTCATCTTGATTCATGATTTGTATTCACCAAAGAGGAAGTAGAAAAACAGATTCCAGTAAAGCACTAGTGTACCAGACAAATAGTCTACGTGATTCCTACTCTCACCTCCACAGAGACCAGACAAACTGAATGGTGCCTGGCTTCCTGTAACAACTGTTCTCGTTAGGGAGGCACTAGATGGGCCTGATAGAATGGGGGGAACATGTGGGACACAGAGTCTCAAATTCTGAAGAAGAAGGAGGTGGAGGGAGGAGGAGACAATGATCAATTGAACTGATTGCGACTGGAGGACTCCTGCAAAGAGTTACAGTCTCACAAAGCCATGGGGCAGCTCTAACCTGTGCTAGAGGGTCTGACTACGAGTCAGAATTGACTTGATGGTAGTGTGTGTGTGTTGCCTTCAAGAGGCTCCATGGTGCACAGGATTACATGTTGAAACCTGTTCTCAGTTTAGAAACCGCTAGCTTTTCTACTCCTGAAAAGAGTTATAGTCTCAGAAACCCACAGGAGCAGTTCTATCTTGCTCTAGAGCAGTGGTTCTCAACCGTCCTAGTGCCGCGACCCTTTAATACAATTCCTCATGCTGTGGTGACCCTCCCCAACCCTAAAGTTATTTTCATTGCTACTTCATCACTGTCATTTTGCTACTGTTAGGGTCATTCAGCCCCCAAAGGGGTGGCGACCCCCAGGTTGAGAACCACTGCCCTCGAAGGTCTCAATGAATCTGGATCGACTGACTCAATGGCAGTGAGTCGTTTGGTTGGGTCTGGGTGTTGCCTTCAGTAGCCTGAGGAAAATTGGAGGCCTGAGCCTGAGACCACCTGGCCCAGGGGCTGTGCTCCATCCCCTTTCCCGATCTCTGGGCCCACAGATCAGCAGATACAAGAGGAAATAAGCTTGACCTGACCTTCCGGACAATCACCTTCCAAGCTTCTCTTGGGAAGGGTTTGAGGCTGGTCAGGGGGAGGCAGGGCTGCTCCAGGGCAGCCGGCTCTTCCTGCTCCACCTTGCTCCTGCAGCCCCCTTCTGACTTCACCTTTGGGATGGGTCTCCTGTTGAGATGCAGGCACCGGGGGGGGCGGGGGGTATCCCCCTTTTCCATCTTTCTCCTCATCTTCTCAAAAAGGCTGCCTCCACTCCTCCCGTGTCTATGAGGATGAAATAATCCTGAGTTGGAATCTTGGCTCTCCCATCCACCGGTGATGTAACCATTGATGAAGCCCCAGTTCCCTCAGCTGTAAAGAGGAAGATGCTCAACTTGTGACAGTGCTGCGGATTAAAACTAGATGGTACCCATAAAAGTATAAGCACTATGTAAAGTGAATGGTGCTCCTGGAACAGAGCTAAGGCTCAATTCATAGTGGCTGTTGTCATTGGTTCCTTTGACAACAGTCTCCTAGTTAATCTGATTCATCCTGGTGACTGCATGTGCCTTGTTATGGAAAGAGACAACTCTCCAGCTTCTACCTGGAGCCTAGGTCCATTTATCATGCCCACCTGGGCACCTGGAAGATTGGTAGCATGGAAGAGGGGCTGTGTTAGTCTTGGTAGACTAGAGAAACAAATCCACAGAAACTCATGTGTGTAAGAGAGAGTTTTATATAAAGGGTAAGTGTACATTAAGAAAGCCTCCCAACCCAGTGCTGTCCAAGCCCTTAAGTCCAACATTAGACCACATGCCCAACACCAATCCACAAAGTCCTCCTCAGTTTCACAAAACACATGCAATGATGTTGCCTGCAGGAGGAAAGCCGAATCAGTGAGTGTGTAAGCATCTCAGTGCTGGCAGGGGTTTCCACGAGGCTCCTCCAGCACCCAGGGCTTCATTGGGGTAGGTCCATGTGGCTTCTCCTCAGGGATGTCTCACGGGAAGTGAGCCTTGCCAGCTGAAGCAAGGAACTGGCTAAGGCTGCTGCACACTGGTCAGACCAGGGGTCCTCAAACTTTTTAAACAGTTCACTGTCCCTCAGACCTGTTAGAGGGTCAGATTATAGTTTAAAAAAAAACTATGAACAAGTTCCAATGCACACTTCACATATCTTATTTTGAAGTAAAAAAAACCAAACAGGGCAAAAACACCTGGCGGGCCAGATAAATGTCCTCGGCGGGCCACAGTTTGAGAACGCCTGGGTCAGACCATCCAAAAGCAAGAGACTTGAGAAATAGAAAGGCGAGGCTCGCTGAGCCATTTACTCTCTTCCCTTCAATTAACCCCACGTGTGTTTATCGGCCAGGTTGGCACAATAAACCTTAACTATCTCAAGGGCCTCTGCAGCTTAGGACCAAAGAGTAGGGATTTTCTCCTCCGGTTGGTGGACTCCTCAAACCCTGAGGACGGCCACTCTGGGGACTTCCCAGGGACCTCAGCCTAGACTCACGCCAGCAACAGGTGAGAGGTCACCCCCTCTGGCACTGCCCTGCAGCATTTCTCCCAGCAGCACTTACACCTGAACAATGCCTGGAAGGCCCACAGCTCTGTGGTTCTCCGAGGGACAGACTCCACACACTCCACGGACCTAGGACCCCAGGCCCAACACCGGGAAGTCTTTCTCCATCGTCACCCGCATATTCAGACAAGGTCCAAGATGCCACCTGCATGGACCTCAGGAAGTTTAGGAAGCAGGGACTCCACAGAGAAAGGGGAGGCCAGGCCCATCCAATATGCTGCCAGGAAACCTTGTCTTCACTGCGGTCCTGGCTCACCTTCCCCACCTGGACAGCTGTGTGTCTGTCTAGGAGCCAGGCTTATCTCTGCAGGTACCTTTGCCCTCCTGCCCCAAGTCTCTGGGGTAGCCCTCAACAGCCCCACACAGCTCCATGATCCCTGGAGTCCAGGCTGCCCAGGGAACGAGGCTCGGGTTGTTAGCCAGCTGCTCCTGGGAGCATCCCAGTCCTATCTTGTCCCGGGAAAGTAGTCACAGTCCATAACTGGGCCAAGGAGCATGCCTCCCCATTGCAGGGGTCCCTCTGAGGTTTCAGCAGAGAGCAGACCCCCCCACCCCCCCAAAAAGGAGTGGCCTGCAGAGAGTCATCCCCTGCACCCTTCTCCCTGCTGCACGCTGTCCATACCAAGCCCGACTGGCATTTTGAAAGGCGCCTCACTGGATACTGAGTGAGGACAGAGAAAAGCGAGCAAGCAAAGAGCCAACAAGAAAGGCCGCCTTAAGGCAGTGAGGCCAACAGATTCAGACCAGAAACCCCTCATTATAATCTGAGACATGCCGGTTTTTTCTGGGGAGGGGTGGGGCTGCCCCTCGCTAGCGCAGCCTTGGCATCTCTCTAAACTCTCAGATCTGGGTGCCTTTGAGTGGCATGAATAAAGAAGCCAGTTTCTACCTAGGATTGGGTTTAAATAAAAGGAATCCTAATTCTGCAGCCTACCCCCTGCTCCCAACACTCCCTCCCTCTCTCAAGGGTTCTGGGGTGGAGGGTGGGGGGGACCAAAGGCTGCAACTGAGGGAGGAGGGGTCTCTTGGGAGAGGGTGCTTTACAGAGACCTACCTCTTCCCCAGACGTGAGCTCCCTCCCCCATCTCTCTGGGCCTGGAGCCCCAGGGCTCAGGTCTGGGTTTCCCCGCCTTTGCACAGCAGGATCTTCTCCTCCATGGAGGAAGGAGGGGAGGCAGGCTTGTCTCGCTGTCCCCACCCTCCTGGCACCTGGCACCTGGGGAGCAGGAAGCGAAGGCTGCTCAGGCCAGCAGGCTGCAGCTGCTGCGCTGAGAGCGGGACGCCCCTGGGACCCCATGGCCGAGGGTGTGGAGCGGCGCCTGGGCAACCTGACCATCTTCAGCCGCGAGGACTTCGAGGACAACTGGCGCCAGGTGGCCAGCGGTGGCTTTGGCCAGGTGTTCCAGGTGCGCCACAAGTGCTGGCGGACCCACTACGCCATCAAGTGCTCCCCCTGCCTCCTGACGGACGCCCACAGGTACTGAGGGACCTCACCCTCCAACCAGCCCATTTCTTTCCAAGGATAAAGCTGGGCCAAGCCGGCTGCTGCTGAGGGAGGGGCAGCCTGAGCTTGGGGCCATGGCTTGTCCCCTCCTCCATTCTAAATGCCTCCCAGGAGCCTGCCCTCCCCAAGCTGGGCCAGGCCCGTTTTGTGTCCATTACCCGGCATGCAGATGGCGCAAAATACTTGTATGGGGAATCGATGGTGGCCACAGGTAAGCAGAACTCACCCTCCACAGATGCCGGTGTGCCATCTACCTCCCACACTCCGCCCTGCCTCCTCGTTCCAGCCACCTCCCTCCTTCCAAGTGCCTGAGTGGTGACGCATGGCCTTACCCGCCCTGCCATTGTACTACCCACCCCAGACTCCCAGGGCGGGGCTGTGGGTCTGCACCCAGCCAGGTCAGGGTGAGCCTGACAGGCTGATGTGCTCCTAGATGGACGCTGCCCAGGTTCCCCGGGCTCCGGGTCGCTGCACCCCTGCCTAGTTTTGTCTCTGGGTTCCCTGCAGCTCTCACCAGGCAGGGTACCACGCA